AGGTTAACGATTACGCGATAACCGACGTCTCTGCTTCTTATTAATATCCCTTAGATAATTATCCCATACTCTTACTACTGCTCTTACTAATTAAGTATTGTTTTATTTATCTACAAACTTCGTTTCGTGATGCCACCTTTTATCCGTTTCATAGTATTATACGTCACGCAAGAAGAAATCTAGGACATCGATGATTGGTTTAAATAAATAATAAAGTAATTTAATTAAAGAACCTGGTTTTAATTATATGTTTTTTTTTATGATATCGAGTGATAATAAACTGTAAGAATTAGCAAGGATTAGGAAAAAGTACATAAACAGGCACAAGTGTAAGTAAAATTTTTCCTTCATACTTTATTTGACTATTATACGATACTTAAAGTTATAGGTACATGTATTATTTATTTTCATTTAATGCATCCCTATAAAAATCTACGTTCTCATAGAGTGCGATCTTCATCTAGACCAAATTTCTTTCTTAAGCAATATGGCTATGGTATTGCAAAGATTCTGTTGAAAGCCAACCTGTGACGTCATGGGACGCTTTCTTGTGAATAAATGATGATTTGGAACCCTCTACAAGTCTACAACTCAGCCGTTTCACCGTAAGAACACTTATACTACTAAATATTAAACCTCCACGTTACGCAATAGGAAAATTGTAAATGTCAACGCCAACACTTAGTATAAATCTCGTTACGTTCGGAACAGCAGTAAGAACAAAATATGCAGTGTATATTGCAAAACTGATAGATTTTTCACAAAATAATATGATGTAGTCCTTATTGCTTTTAAAATTACAGTTCAAATTCAGTTATATTCATGTTTACGCGCTTCACAGCGCAAAAGTAACTAGATCGTATTAGTGGCGAGCTACTGATCATAGTTGCTTGACGTTATAACGTGTTTTCATTTATAGACAGTTGCACAAACAGCGGTTAATGGCTTGAACAGTCATCGCGACCACTGCTCTCATCGACACGAAACGCATAGTGAAGCCCTACAAACAAAATGGGTATGACGAAAATCGTATATTAAAATAGTGTAGATATTTTTGAATGACTATTTTTGCATAAATGTATAATATGTATTAAAATATATATTCATTTCATGTTGTATTATGTTACAAATACTAAAAGTTGTCTGAATACCTATATAACCTAAAAATATTATTATTATATAGATTAGGCGCTTGCTCTGAAACTTTTATCGATATATCAAACTCAGTGTGACTTCCCTACGCCGCGCGCCGTAGCTGTCTACGTGTTATCTCTACGACCCTTCCGCGTAGACCCCTCTACACTGCGCTACGTTCAAAGCATAATATTTCGAATTCGTAGCGCTGTAAAGGAAATTATTTCTTGTTTAAGTCGCTCCCTTCCCTGAAGGGTATGTCGTAATTAATCTATTCCTATAAGACCTTTACTTAGTTGTTTTACTCAAGAATATTATAAAAACAACACAACAAAATTTATTACAGCAGTAACTGCCTCGTTGTTCTAGAGGTTGATTCATAAGACTGCAAATACCGGGGTTCAGGATATAAATCCTAAGCATTCTTCTAAAAAAATATCTCCAACACCATCTACGCCTTGAAGAACAAGATAAGCACAGATATCTTCACTCGTTTAGTTTTGATTTCTTGAAAAATAGATTACGTTTTTCTTAATCACTTATAAGATTGAGATTTAATGTATAAAAACATTATTCTTATTTATACATTAGAATGATTTTTTAGATGCTCTGATTGAATTAATATTGTACGATGAAAAATTTATAGGCGTCATATTTCAAAACCCTGAGCAGACTAATGATAGCAAGTTAGAGAAGACCAACTGGGCGAACAAATCAAAAACATTTACACAAAGTACTACCATTAAAGTTCATAGCATAGTTTTAAACAATCGCAATTATAATATACGGGTTTGAAGCTTGACAAATATTGTCGTTTGAAACTATCCATATTATATTTAATATTTAATCATTAAGTTTTTATTTCGTGTATATGTGTACTTCCATATTTTAACGGCAATATCAAAATGAAAGAGCTCAATTAAATAAGTAACATTTTCTAAGTCTTGTTCTGTCATACAGAAATACTGCGTCTACGAGTCATTGTTAAATATATAATATATTGTAAAGAGAGGAATGTGTTTCTTTAAATGATCTCCTTACGCGCCAAGTAAATGTAGACATCTGAATTACGACACATTCTATGACGGAGTGAGGCCACGAAATTATATGTAATTTCATTGATATAACAAAGACACCATTTTACAAAAAAACACCAATACAATCGCTGATAGCTTCTACAACGTTAACTTTTTTGTAATTGAACACGACTGATTTTACTGTTGTGTATTTTTTTTCTTACCCGCATTGTGAAGTTTATTGGGGTAATATATAAAGAAAGGTAAAACTTTTAAAACGCGAAACACATTAGTCAACTTATTTTTAACTACGATTCGAAAGTATTTTGTAATGACTTAGTTATAAATATAATTTGCGTCTGAAACCGCTTAGCGTTTTATTTAAATGCCTTCTACTGGCGTTAACTACAGACAATATAATCTAAAACCAGTAAAGTGACGTCGTTAATAATATATTATGTAATTATGTATGAAACACAAGCGTCAAATCGTTTACTTTATGGCCCTACACAACAACAGGTGTAAACCAGTCATTGCTCGTAAACGTTTACCATAAAAATGTTCATAAACTCACACACACACACACACATGTTCACGCATAATACGACATACATGCAGACAATACTAAACATGTGCTAGAGTACACAGAAGAACACAAAAAAGTACGTAATAAAATTGTCTATATTAAATAATAAGCATACTTTACGCGCATAGTATACTTTTAAAAAAATACAAACAACTAAAATACAAATCCAAGGGTTTAAAACACGAAATATATTAGTTAAATTTATTTACGAATTATTTTAACTACGGCCCGACGTTTTAAATGATTTGCAGCAGCCGTGGTCACGGAGATATAGAGAGAGATACTTTACATGAATTTCAGAGTAGAAAATGATAATTAATGGTTTGATCTCTTGAATTAAATAGCTAGGACAGTCCTGTGAGAGTACATATTTGAGTTTTGTGCGAGAGAAATATGCTTGAGTAGTTTAGTAAACCATATACGTTTTTCATTCAATATATTATGCTACAGAATTAACAACTTGACCACGCCCTTAGCCAGTAAGTGAGTAAGTAATCTATTACTGTTATCGGATTTATCATAACAGAAGAGGGGAGTGGATGAAGGACCAAGGAGTTTCGTTATCAAAATCACTTCTCCATGAATATGTTTTTTTCCAAGCTTTCCGATTGCTCTCGTTAAACCAATACTCACGTGATAACACTAATCGCAAACTACCTGTGCTCTGTATCGGCCGCGGCGTTCACACCCGAGGGAGGCAATTAATCACTGCCGCTGATCTCCCGAGTTTTGTCGTTTAATTGATATTTCCCCGTTTCGTTTTGTGACAAAATAATTCCTAAAGTCCAATATTTTAGATATCACTTGCGGACTCTTTTTAATATTTAGATTCAAAAGGAGATCACAAATAACTTCCAGTTAACATATTGCATATTGTAAGCTTTATTTAAATTATCAAATGTATGGAATCAAATTTGAGATGTCACCTAATAAAAAAATGGGAAATGGGTTAAATAAATAGCAGGTACTGTGGACTGCTCACCGGGCCCTGTATCGGTGTCCAAAATAAAAAGAATAATGAGAAAATGTATCAAATGTCTGACATTTTGAAACATTTTAAATGCTTACTGACGTTACAAATAACTCTATTGACTAAGGTTTCCTGGCGATTCTCAAGTGTAAAGCGTAACCACATGAACGGGAAAGTTGGATAACAGCAGCCACAGTATTGTAAAAAGTATATAAATGTTAATGTTATTCACATGTTATTGCACATGATGGTACTAAATAAATAACAAATCTATTATAAATTGACAAAATTACAACACGGGCAGGACTTGACCCGACATCCACAGCGTTCCATACTTATGCTCTCACCAATTGAGCTACTGTGTCAACACTCAACTAAACCGTTGATTTTATTCTATTTATAATCGAATTTTGATGTGAATATAAATGTGTGAAGTGATTTAATGGAAGTCTTTAAGAATGTTTCAACAATACGATACAATATTTTGTTATATCATCGACTATAAAAAAATTTGGCTAATGTCTTAGAAAAAGGCACTATTAGGACACGTTTTTGACACGAATAGTTTGGAGATTAAAATCTCAAAACTATTCACGTCAAAAACGTATTTTGTTGAGTCAAAAAGTGGAGGTAATTATAATGCCATCCATCAACGATCTAAGCGTCAAAATAAGTTGAGGCAGTCTCAAAGCGTATATGAAAGAACCATTAAGATTTAGACTGTGTCTCATTTCATAATAATCATTGTAAATTTATCCAATCTAAAAAACCTACCTGGCAATTGGGTCGCAAATTTAACATTTGAATCAGTTTCAATGAAAGTCACTTTTGTTGCTACAGAATTACCCTTCATTGTTATAATATCTATACCAATAAATAAAGCTGAAGAGTTTGTTTGGACGCGCTTATTTCAGGAAGTACTGGTTCGAATTGGAAAATAATGTTATGTATTTGTATTGGTGAGAGCATTTATCAAGAAAAGCTTTAGGCTATAAAACATCATGATGCAACCAATAGGAGTGAAGATACACAAAGAAGAAGACACTAGGAAAATTATTTATCTTTTAGGGTTACCGTTGCGAAAGCTTTTAAACATACCCAAAAATATGTATGAAAGAATGTGCTCTCTTTAAATGATCTAAAAAAATACATACAGACAGGCAGTACATGTCTATCTTTTAAAACTCACTTGCAAGAACGACAGGATGCGCACTACGTCGTGGGTAACAGCTTAAAGAACTATTCTACGCGGACGAAGTCGCTGATACAGCTAGTTTATCTCTTCTATTAACATCTAAAACTCACCTTTCCCATGAAGCTGTTGTCTGTTTTCCGTGCCTTTAAGGCTTTCCGCCGTGTGGAGGAGTTCATCAAGCTGTGGTTTCTTCTGTTCCAGCTCTCGCAGCACACCCTGGAAATGTATATTTTAATAAATTTCGGATAAATAAAGCCTTTTGAAAAAAAACTGTATTGTTTTTTGTTTATAAAAGACAAGAACAGACAAGTATGGGAATAATTTTATATAATTGTCTTTCGGACTGTTCGGCCGATGTGAGCGAGAAAAGAACAATTTAACTTGACGGCTTATGAGCCTGTGGATGTTTTAATATTCCTACCATCCACTCTATCTATTTCTACCATCCATCTAGATTGCAAGACCAAAATATTTCAGAAAAAATATTATCGTGAAACATGTGGGATCATGGGATCCAGTTCCAGCTTAGTGTAAGACATTATGGGGAGTGATCATTCTCCCTTTATGTCATTTGAAGGTACATACGGTCGTAATATACATTGTATATATATTGACTTGTGACATAAAGAAAAGCTCTTAGAACCCGCAGATTATTTCCGAGACAAATCTATAAATACATTTTCTGAGAACATAATGGAGAAGAAAACATTACAGAGAACTCCGCGAAGGTATTTTATAAAAGAATTCTTGGAAGGAACGTCTATTATTCAGGATATTCATTAGCCCTGAACAAATATTATCGGAAGATTGGAGGAAACTCGTTTTTGTAAGTAATTCGGTTGGATCGATACAGCTTATTTATCATACAACAATCGCCGCGAGGTGGGTTTATATTGGAGGTCGTTGTGAGGTTTATGTTCTTTGTTGTACTTTCGGTATGTTTATTTTAATTTTAGAGATTCAGATTTCTTGATTAAATAAGCTGATTAATAAAAAAGGAATCACTTACAAAGTATAAAATGCACCATATTTTACCTACAAACAGATTTTTTTTACTATAAATGAAACCGAAATTGAACCGAAGTCTACAGCGTTCCGTGCTGTTGTTCTAGCCAATTGAGCTTCCGTGTCCTACACGTAATCGTAGATTTTTTCCATGCACCTCTCGCGCAATGTAATATTATCCTTAAAATTTCAGTACTAAGGTTCAATATCTTATGCTTTTCAGCTTAAGAAAATCACTGAAGATAAGTTTACCGTTAGAAAACTTAAATATTCTTCACATATTATAGATCCAAACAATACACTTTAACGGTTTAAAACGCGATCTATGTTCATTAAACATATTTGGAAATTAATTTAACAATACTCGCGTAATAGACAGTTTTTAATAAACATGTTACTCTTTCCTAGCTAATAATATTCTAGGTACGACCAAATGATAGAATTTCGATAAAATACCCATAAAATTGATATGATAACTAATCTTGTCTTTAAAATTTAAAAGCTTACTATTCCTATGAGTAATGCTTAGGCCTATACTTCGAAACCTAAGTGAAAAACTCGGTATTAAAATGCGAAGTAAGTTTATAGTGCATTCAATTAATTCTGTGACAAAGCGAGCTCTAATGAGGTTAGCTATGAATGTATTTCCATCTTTTGTAGCTCTCTAAAAATACATTCATTTAATGGACGTGTATCTTTACTTTACTTAATATGTCTAATGGTTACTGGAAAATTAATTGTTTAATTCTTAAAGTGGAATATGTTGAATAAATATGATTAGGAAAATATGTTAAGAATATAAACTTTCACTTGACGGCCTAGTCTAGATGACGACGGCCTCGTCTAGATGACGACGGCCTCGTCTAGATGACGACGGCCTCGTTGGTGTAATGGTAGCGGTTAATAGCGGGACGTGGTTTCGATCCCACCGGGTCCAACTTTTTTCGTTAGGAAATCTGGATATTAAATGTTTGGTAGGAATATCGAACGATCGGGTCACGGACCACCCTCACAGATGAAATCGCCTTGAAGTTTAATTACGTTTCAGTTTCAGTCTGTTTTCCGAATATCCAAAGCCAAAATAGGTAGCGCATGTCGTTTAGATGCTATAGGCTGCGATATATCACCTACCGTCAAATCAACGCCATGCTTGTCTGTACTCCTTTATCTTCAAAAAATATTGTCACCAGAATTATTAGCCCAGTTAGGAGATCAAACAGTGTTTAAGATTCACAATATAGGTAAAGTATGTCTACTCAAGGTGAAGTATAAATTCGTGGACGATGTCAAAGTGACATTATTGTACGGTTACACCGCAGGCTCCGAGGCCTCGTTGTTTTAATTTATTATAAAATTACTGAAACGCGGCCAAGGACTTATTGCCTCGAGTTACAGAATAATTAATTCGGGAATTTTAACAAGCAAATATTATGATTTCGGATCGGACAAAGGATTTTCCACATAGTTCTCGTTGAACGGTATTCAATTAGACATCAAAGGTAATCCATGTTAATAAATAACCGCTTTTATATAGATCGCACCCTTCATTGTCTTCTAATATTTACTTTATGTTAACTACTTACTACTCTGTATTGTTAATATTGAACACTTAACGGTCAACGGACGATTTGGATGCTTTACAGCAGCAGTGGTCACGGGGGACATGACGATGGACGGTGGCTTTAATATTAAAGTCAAATCTGTTATCTAGCGCCATATGTTTCGTCGTAGTTAGGTATTTAGAGAAACTAGCTAAAATACCAGCTTAGCTTAGCTATATTTCGATTAAAAACCGTTAAAATAAATTTATTTCAATGTGATCTACTCGCGACAACTACAGACAACACTTAACGTCCTAATTAAATGTATTCTATTTCCGAATGTTGTTAAGGATGTATGTATGTTCCGAATGGGTTAAATGCATTCACCAACTAGGCCATGGATGACGAAGCGAAAAAAAAAGGAATTTTCCCTTCAGCAACTATATTTATTTTATATATTTTATAAAGATAAAAAACGCTATTAATTGTAATCATAAGCATTTCTTACAGTTACTGGTTATTTTAGCAGGTCGTGAAACAAGCAAATATGTTGTCGTTAAGAAACGGTTTTTGTATAAGTGAATATATGAACAGATTGCTGATAAAGAAAATATTACAACTTTTACGACTCTCCTTAGCAGCAACTGTGCGCGAACTAAAATTTTTACAACTCCAAATGGCGATACAGCTACGTTTATTTATACAATACATTTCGTGTAGTGGGTTGCTTAGCAACGGCCCGGCGTTCCGCGAGCTCGAATACGCATGTGCAAGTAGGTTGAGTGGAAGGGGTATAGTGATGTGCGATGTCGATAAATGTTAGCGTTAGATAATACCGGACAGTGCCAAACTGGAATTTAAAAAAAACTTAGGAATATATGTATGAAGTGTCAATTGCTGTTAATACGTCGTGCTGTAATTAAAGTGAAATAATATGTTATTTTTCTGTAGTGTTATGCATCTTGGCAACAAAAGCTCGAGAGAGGAGTTATTAGCCCTAGCACGACTTGATAGATAAAGTGATACAATGCAATATTTAGAAAGAAGAATAAAATTACGAAGAGTTATTTTATTTTAATTTCATTGGCATGAGGCAATCCTACATACGTCCGAGTTTTCATTTTTATTCAGTGCTTATTGATATTTTATTTTTCAATAAACTATTCACGAAGAGATAAAAGGTAAAATATAATACATTACCCATCAGATATGATATCACCCAAAGACACTACAAAACTGTTGTTTAGTTAAATCAAATTTATTTATTAGACAAGTTAAGTATAAATGTAATAAAAAGCCTTAAACATATTTATCGACATCGATAACGTACGCAGAGCTTCACTACTACATACCGCGCATGAGCAGACAATGTTGCGTAGAGTATAAAACAATCTGCTTCATGAATTTTTGTTTAGTCATCATGCAGCCATTGCAGGATATGAACGAAAGAAAAATTAGTTTACAGTATATACATGAAGTAATCTCAAATAATCATTGTAAAAAATAATTGAAGTTTAAAGAACGAATTACTTATTATTAATCACGAAAATTAGTATAATTGAGTCTGTTTAGTTCTTTAAAAAAAATACATAATATATATATATAGAAACTTGAACAAAAAGTATTCCATTACAGTAATTCGTATCTAATAAAGTTTAAAACCCAATGAATTCACCAGAAAACCACAAAACTCGAGCGCAATTCCCTACCAAAAGGAACCCTTCTGGCTTTGCAAATTAAATAAAAGTCTCTTTGTTTGTAATCGACTTTCCAATAAACCCTAAATGTGATTATATATTAAGAAAGCTCACACTCACCGCAAAACATAATAAAATCATTTCTTTTTACTTTTGATATTTTAAGTTTAAAGTAAAAAATATATTAAATAGTTTCATGAATTAAATTATAAAGCTGTTATCGACTTTTTAACGTGAACCAATAATAATACATTATTTGCTTTAATAATTCATGTAGTTTACGTGAGTAGACACATTTAAATAGAAGACTTTTAACAGTTTAAAACGCGAAATATTTAAGTAAAGTTATATTAACTACGGGTCCATATTTTACTTGTGCCTCCAACTGCGTATGAAACGACGGGTCGTACTTAAAATAAGTTAACAAATCCCTTTCGAATTTTAAACCACTACAAATGTGTTATACAGTCATTAGTCTAATACTGTCTACTGTATGTAGTTTACGCGAGTAGGACTATTCTCAAACAAGTTTAACTAAAATATATCGCGTTTTCAAGCTTTCAAGTGTTTTATTTAAAAGTCATCAGTCACTTTTCAAGTAATTCGTTTGTATTAGGACATCAGCACGTCTTCTGTGTGAACAAACCTTAAACAATATTATTGAGCACTGGTAAGAAGGAATCGACACAATCTCCACTCATTTAGGATTCGTGTCGCGTTCTCGTCTGTCTCATAAGGATCGATGGGATCCGTCCAGGACCATCACATTTAATAAGATATTTCCTTTATCCTAATGTACCTTTGTGCTTGGGACCGTCTTACGTATTCCAAATAATGACAAATGTTGTTCTGTGGGCTTCCGTTACGTGCACTACCAAAACGGTTCAAGATACTCAAAACATATGTATTAATGAATAATTCCTCATTGAACGATCTCAAAAAATGTCCGTGATAGTATATGTTTTAAGTTAAATTTATAAAATTACTATTCTACGCGAACGAAGTCGCGGACATAGCCAGTCAAATAATATACCTTCTGTTTATCAAGCTGCTGTAGAATGTCATCAACGTCGCCCACAGCGACCGGCTGGGCCCGCAACATATCCACTTCAACGGACACCCAATCGCGGATCTGTAATGAGAATCATATTTTAATTGCATAACAGTTAACTAAGGTCTTTCTCAGGTTCTTTTAACACAAGGAATTAAATAAAGGGAAACATAGGCGACGGTCGAAGAGCTGGTTGATTTAAGGGTAGCAATGTATGGATCATGATCAACATGAAACAGGTGTGACTTCGCCTGGACTTTTTATGGATAGTAGGAATATCGATACCGTCCGGGTCACGAACTAGCGTTAACAGTTAAAGCTGTAAAGTTTTATCGCGATTCGGTGTCAGTCTATGAATTGCCGAATATACAAAGGCAAAATAAGTCGACAGTGCATCCTATCCTTGTCTGTCTTCCTTTATCTAAAAACATGCAGCGAACCAGCTGAGCGATTAGGGCATCAAACCGGAGCGGGCCTGATTTGGAACAGATCCGTTTTATATTGGCGCAGTATCGTCAAATTCGGGTATATTGGATCGATCGGCCGCAGACAACGGCACCTAGACCGAGCTCATTTAAACCGGTTAGGTTACACACCGCTACAAGTCTGAGAGAGCTGTGACTCTTCATCGTTCTAATTCTATGCAGATATTTTATTTTCTTGTCTATTGTAAAATAACATTATCTCTGTACGTTTTGATATTACACATGTATATGTGTTATTTAGAGTAATTTAATAAATGTGAGTAAATTTAATTAGAATGTATAAAAGATACCTACAGGAAATTTTGAACAGAAGAAATCTCAGGGAATTTGCATAATGTTTTGTTTTTTATTTATCTGTATATAATTTTTTATCGTATTAGGATGAAGCTATCCAACAACAACAAGTTTTGTAAATATATAAATACATAATCTTATTTTTGTCGAACTGCACATTGTGGTTCTCATTGACCACGTTGAATGTAGTCTACTCAGTTACATTTGGTGACCGCATCTGATTAGATCAGAGTTCAAGATCAGTTTTCCAAGGTTCCCTAGGAACCATTGTACTGGGCTCGTTGTGTGTTTAGTAGTTATAGTCCACTTTCACTCCCGCCTCCGGTTGTTACACGACACTAGCCACACACAACAACAAACACACTACTCACGGTACAATTGCCCGACGTAGGCATGCATTTTTTTTTCATAATTATTAAAGGATTTATTTACAAGTTGCTAAACTAGAAATCCAATTTACTTTCCACAAAATCCGTGACGCAGCGACGATTGAATGCGGCAAAGAAAAAGCGGCAGAATAGTTTTCTCCTTCGTAGCTATAAAGCCTTCAGATCTGACCGAAAAACTCCCAATAACAATGCGGGACCAAACTATATATTGGATCGGGTTCGAGGGCTACGACATTCATACTGATGTATAAATAATGATTTCTACTTACTGTCATATAATTTGTATATAAACGCGGCGATTATTTTAATAAACGCAAACCCCCAGTTAAGGCACGCGCACGTTAAGATATTATACATATTTTTTGTTACTAAAAACTAATCAAGATAGTTAAAAATCAGAAATATAGGAGATTTCTTTCATATATAGAGTAGTATTTTAATAATTAATAACACTGATGCAAAGAAGAGTGCATTTACATCATTGAAAATGTAACACTTGTCTACTGTACTTTTAACGGTTTACAGTGCAAAATGTATTAATTAATTTATTTTTTATGTAAACTACGACCCGACGCTTAATTGCCCTCTCGTAAGTATGGTTTTTGCAAAGCATCCGAAACATCAGGCTATAGTTTATTAAATATAAGTTAACTACTATAGTTTGCGTTTTGAATAGTGTTTTTTATTTATTTTAATGTTTAACTGTATAAGAAAAAAATGAAGTAGCGTCTATAAACACAATGATAAGCCGTGCGTTTACAGAAGTACACGAGAAGGCGAGATCATGTATGGGCGGCTATTTCAAGGGTGAAGGTTACACCATTTCGAGGGCTTCATAGTTTCGACTCATAAAAATAAACCACGTTTACTTCATTCTGGGATTTTCTAAGAGAAAAAAAACATAAATCTGTCAGCTTCTCGATTGCGATTTTTTTTAACAATCAAAATTTTGCAATTTGCATTATTCTGTGTGGAAGTTTAATTTTTTACGAACTATTTCTATATAAAGATTTAAAAAATTGAGGCTTTATTAAGATTGAAAAAAAAAATAGCGACACGGGCACGACTTGAACCCGCACCTACAGAGCTCCGCGTTACCACTTACCGCTTGAATGTTAGTTTTGGGTAGCCGAATAAAAATCTCAAAATGCTGGTCATTTTGAGATTTTTATTCGGCTACCCAAATATATAGCTGCAAATTTAGATCAGAGCCGTATTCACTAAAACCAATAAAATGGCTGGAGTGTTTGTAGCCGGGCGTTTAGCGTGCTTAACGGGACAGCTATTGAATTTAAACACGGTTTAAAATGGCCGGTTCCCGCGCATTTTCCAAAAATAAATCCTATGAAAGGAATTGAGTTGAATGTAAGCGGGCTCGCTGCTTCATTGAATTAATTTCACTTAGGCTCTTTACACACTTTACTCTCGCAAACGCATTAAGGCCCAATGTACACGGAGATAAATATTTGAAAATGTCGCGCAAGTTTTAAAGATTTAGATATTCGTAAATAATGTTGTTATACTACAATAATTATTAATTTATTTACGAAACTAACAGGATCCCTTAAATGTATTTGTTAGTGTCTTAAAACAAAAAAAAAGTCATTTAACTCGAGCAGTTGAGTTTTTGTAATGTGAATTATAATAAACGTTTTCGTTATATATCTTTCTTTAAAAAAATGTGATTCGCTTAGATATTAAATTTTGAATCAACTCGCGTATGAACAGCCTAAACCTCACGGCTGATTAAGTGCTCAATTGAATCCTGTTACATTTGTACCGCTTTGTCACAAAAGGCTTTATGCCTCCAGGTTTTTTTGTCAAAGTTTCACCAAATTGCACAATTTTAAACAATTTTCAATCTTTTCGTTCTAATGACTAATCTGGTTAAAAAAATGCTGATGCCATAAAACTTGTAAAATCGACGAACCACACTTATATGGCCCTAAAGAATTTCTCTGAACATGTGCAATGTTAATTTTTGTAATTTTAAGTGGAACAAGGACAGACAAAAATCGGTTTCACATGATAGCGGGTAAAATATCCCAGCTATGTAATATCTTGAAAAGGTTAGCTGTTGCCCTATTATGGCTTTGGACATTTGGGAATCCACAGACTGATAACGAAACGCGATTAAACTTCACGGCATTTTAATATATTGACAGAGGTTCGGGATCGGACGGACTCATTTAATATCCATATTTCTAACCGAATTCTAACATAATAAAAAATGAAGTAGAAACGGGTTGGAGGCGGTGCGGGCCGAGCCTATGATCTGTTGAGCTCAATATATGCTCTTTAATTTAAGAAAAAAAATGTTTCTAACAATTACTTTTCACATCACATTCTAACTTGAGGTAAGTTTTAGAAAAACATCCCCATCTACTTCCCATTTCACTTGTAAAACTCAGGGGAAAATGACGTCACATAACGACGCGCCGCGGTACAAAAGCTCCCCTCACGATATTGCAGTACATTAATTTTTTCCACGCAGTTTAAGTTACTTCCCGGTCCCAGCAATCTACAGAATATTAGCGGGGAGTTTTCCGACAACTTCTGAATTATAACAATTCATAACAAATATCTAATCTTACTCTGGCTCTTTTACGATGAAATTAATTTCTGAACTAAATATTTAGTTTTCTCGTTTCGCTAACTAACACCACTAACTAATAAACTAATTAAAGTACACACAATATATATGACATTGTGAGTAGTAATTGTAGTATTAAACCTAAACGGTTTAAAATGCGAGGTATATTAATTAAAGGCCTAACGTTTCAGATGCCTTGCACCGGCTTCCCGTCACCTTTAAGTATTTTATTTAAACAAAATACATATCTATATACTGTCTGCTGTTTGCACGAGTAGGTAGGTACTACACATTTAAATAAAACACTTAATGGTTTGAAGCGCAATATATATTAGTTAAACTTATTGAAAATTATTTTAACTACGGCCGTTTCAGATTCTTTGTAGCAGCCATGGTCAGGCGGAGACTGTCGTTATTTCGCGTTTTAACCCGTTAAAGTGTAATTTAAAAGTCGTTACATATCCGTAATTCCTCTGAACGGTTTCCTGACATAACAAAAAGCACTCCACTAGCTCATATTTTAACTAAGTTATAACGCACGAGCAATACGTAAAACGTGAGTCTATAAAAGCTTCGCTCACATTCAATTCGCGCTCGAACATTCGTGAGCCTTACAATTTGGCAGCACGCCACCATTTTACGCATTCAGAAGTTTTAAAATACTGCAGTTCTCGTCACCAAGTTAACGGAGGCCCAATAGACTAATACAATTAAACCTAATCGAAGTCGATCTTTTAATTGTCATAGTAATGAGTTAATTATGAAGAATGAAGTAAGGACTTTTTTATGGTAGGTAAAATAACCCAGCCATATAACATCTAAAAAGTTGCGCTGTCGATCTTTGCCTTTGTATATTCGGAAATCCAAAGACTGAAACCGAAAAGCGATAAAACTTGACCTCTCTTACATCTGTGGTCCCGAGCCATTAAATTTGCAGATTTCTAGACGCAGTCCATCATATATGTTGGACTTGGTAAGGACGAGAAATCTGACAAAAGATGTTATAAGGCTGTGGTTATTTACCTGCCATTGAGTGAACCCCGTGATAGCTTACCTGCTGCACACTAGTATCGAAGGTGGCCAGCAGAGCCGCCGAAGCTGGCGGGCCCTGCGAAGAACGACGCCGGGAACCCCCGCGACTGCCTCTTTCTGCAAATTAACACCAATAATATTAAAGGACAGACAAACTTGAATGCAATATAGAACTTATAAATATTTAGTATTGAAACTGACTACGAGTAGATTGTACACTATGTTATTTTAGTTATAAAAAGCAGGCACGTGTTAACGATGAAACTGATTAAGGCTTGCAAATTAGGAGGAAGCTTACTATAAAACTTTATGGAAATAAACTTAGAACACAAACAACTTTAAACTTAACTAAGGCGTTTTATTAACCAGTTAGTGAAGACAGCTCGGAAATAGTTAGCGAGCGGAGTATGCTAATTAAATAGATGTTTTGTTTTAAACTAGTATTTCAGGTTTTAAGTATTCGCTTTCTTTACAAACTCGATATTCATTGTGTTTGTTTTCAAAGCCATCGCATTTTCTTAGATAGGTACCTGCTTAAATCTGCTTTACGCAAGTAGACGTTGAAATAAAACAAGTTTAACGGTTTAAAACCGCGATATATGAGTTTTTTAATTTGTTGTAACTACGGACCGACGTTTCGGATGCTTTGTATCAGTCGTGGTTACGACGAGATTGCGGTGATGCAATATAAATAATATATATTGCGTTTTAATCCATTTAAACTTCTTATTTTAATATCACGAGTTGTTACTACTTAAATACGACCTGTTAAATGGAATATATTTCATAAAAAAATATTAAAGAGTTTTGAATTACAATAAAAGGAAACAATTAACTAATAGACAATTGATATAATACAATAAACGAGGATCAAGAAGAAACGTAATATTAGTGGCCCTAGGGGGTTACGTGGTTAGTACATAACAATCGCATTAGAGGTTGAAGGGTTAATCCCATTAGCGACGGGAACGAACTTTAATACGCCAGAACACCTACAACAGACGCGTCAGGGTAAGAGGGCTAGTGAAGCTTATCTTTCAATCGTTATGCGTTTATGATTTCAATTTATTAATTAAGCGAAATGGATGACAAATGCTTAGTTTCCCGTCTGTGTAACTGAAGTTTTTCTAGGCTCTTTTCATTCTATAATCTATCAAGGCAAGTTTCTAAACGGTTCATTCATCTTACGCCAAACTCCGATTATATTACGATTAATTAACCCGCCGTTAACTGTTACAAACCATAAGACATAATGTAATTCAAAGAAGTGAAACTAGATGGCGCGCAAAGTAAACGAGTAAGATTTTTTATTATATTATAGAGTCTTTAATTATGACGTATAATCTAAGCGAGTACAATATGTAAACCCGATAAAATTAACGAGATGAGGACTCACTCACTCACCAATGGGTGGCGGAGGCTTTGTATGTTTAATCAGGTCTTCATTAGAGTGAGCATAGTGGGAAAAGTTATTTACAAAATAATAGAATGAAATTTCGTTTTCTCGTGCAGCATGGGGCAAACATGATTTTGTGTCCGTTTTACTGATCGGTGTTATTTGCAGGCAAGTAGTTTAACAGGCTTTTGTGCCCAACCAGACCGAAACAATCTATTCTTTCCCTGGAAGTTGATCCCTGACCCTTTAAGACCCCGATAATTGTGTACATGGCTAATAGATACCTATCTCACAATAAGAGATTTTGTAAACATTGTACAGTATTTTATCTCACAAAGGTCTGTGGACAGACCGTCTCCACACGAGAGGTCCTTATTTCGATTCATGGTATAATCAAGCTTCAGTCGGGAGCACAGAAGTCTGCACTACACTTGCCTGTTAATAGACTACAATAGTGAAACAAACAAAAAAAGAGTTTGCCCCATGCCCCACAAAAGTAAACGGTATTTCTAAGTAACTACAAAGATCAAAAAGTTATTTAATATCATTGTAATATATTACAAATAAGAAGCATAAAGTTCTCTACAACCACCTGAAATATTAATTCGGTACCATTCCTGACATTCCCGTAATGGCCTAACCTTATGACACACTCGTAAAAGGCGCATGAAAAATATTACTTTCGGCCATATATTTGCTATGTTATTGGCGTGATGAATGACGGGTGCGAAGAACACATTACCTGCATCTGATACAACCATTGATTTCCAGATTTCCAGTCTACAGTCTGCTACATTTCAATCTGTGTAAAATTTACTCGCTTTTACATACGCCGATGATTGTAATTGATTGTACTGTTTACTCACTAGTATTAAAGTCTTTTTTTGCAATGGTTTTAAATGTATTCAATTATTCGGCCGTCGTAAAAAAGCATTTTCGGGTATTACGAACTGTTACCCACGACGTCAGTCGCATCTTATGCAGCCGTTATGTCGAGTTATGTTAAAAAATACACATACATTATCGCGGACATTTCTTAATATCATTTAAATTTATTTTTATATTTTATACATATTGTATGAAAACATTATTACATGCTTTCGTAGCGCACGCAACGGAAATCCTAAAATATATTTTCTCGGTTTTTCCACATTTTCCACTGTTGAATCGCTCCTATTGGTCGCATCCTGATGTTTTATAGTCTAAGCCTTCCTCGATAAATGCTCTTACTAATATAAAATACAACTCGAAAGAGTGGTTTCTGAGATAAGTGCGTACAAACAAACAAATTCTCCATCTTTATATTTTAGTACCTATAGATTAATGATTTGTATTACGCGTTGTGAGCAGTTATTCCAGTCTTTGTTTCGTGTATATACAATTCGTTAGTGACTCAAAACACAAGCCAAGTTAAGCCACATTATGACATAATCTCGCCGTATTAGGTGCCGGCCGTATTATAATCACATATGGAGGATCGTTAACCGCGGTATCCCCTACAACCCGCCCTATGCTTTGTGAACTCTAGCCAATTCGACGATATCATAGAATCCTTACGATACACGAAAATATTAAGTAAGCTAAGTTAAGCCGAGACGTATAATCGCGTTTAGGTTTCAGTCTGTAGATTATATTAATGTCAAAAGCCAAAATAAGTCCATAGCGCATATTTATATCAATGCTCATATATAAAACTGAAGAGTTCGTTTGTTTGTTTGATCGCGCTAATCTCAGGAACTACTAATTCGAATTGATTTTTTTGTGTTGGTTAGCGCATTTACTGGGGAAGGCTATAGGTTTCATTATAAAACATATCGCTGTGACCAATAGGAGCGAAGAAACAGCGGGAAATTTATTCATTCCTATTGCATACGCTTCGAAAACGGTTTAAGATACCCAAAAATTTTGTATAAAAAAAATAATTTCTCTTTAAATGATATTTAAAAAATTCCGCGACAGTATATGTCTACCTGTTAAGATTAACTGGCCAGAACGACGGACGCGGGCGACGTTGTAGGTATCAGCTTAAATTATATAGAATTGAACAGAACAGGTTTGCAAAAACGAATTGGATGCCCTAAATAACTATTCTACGCGGACGAAGTCGCTGACACAACTAGTCATTTATAATAATGTAAATATCTTAGATAAAATATTTTTAAAAAAAGGCAACCGGAACGCCGCTTACTTTCTGAAAATACGAATAAATATCTATAGCTTTACGGTTGTCTGTTGCATTAAACAATCTTTGTAAGGAGAGTTGGCATAGATTAGGTTAAAGAAATCATAAATTCAATATTTTTTTATACGTTTTGTGATGCTATCCGCGTCTGTAGCGCGAGAGGCACGTATCTCATTAGTACGAGGCTGGCAGACAAATGTGCCCCACCAACCCACCTCCAGTTTATGCTCTGGGGACCTTAAAGCGAATTGTTTTTCTAAATCTCGATGTTTCAGCAATGACATGAAGTGTATTAATTAAACTTATTTACAAATTATTTTAACTACCGTGACGAAATATCGTTTTTTTTTATTTTATTACGTACTACTCGTATGAACTACAGAAAGTATATTGTATTACATTGCCTTATTTTGAAATTAGAAAAGTGATCTTAAAAATTATGACACCGAGAAGTTTTTAGCTAGAAGCAGATAATTGATAGACCTTAATATAGAAAATTATGAGTCTAAGTAACAACAAAGAATTAGATAATGTCGAAAAACACATACACAATTACACAATATTTTTTCTCAAAAGCCTAAGCAACTTCCCTAACATCTATGATAACGATTAAGTAAAAACACAGTACATTCTTCGAGCTTACGAGATGTTGTTAAATAAATGGGCAATTATGCTTAGTGCGCTCTTTTACCTAATTAGGTGCGACTTTTACGGAATGTTAAATGTCATAAATATACATATGGCATATTCATAGTAAGAGATGTTTTCACCGTCAATCTTTATGAATACTTCGTGACTCTATAGAGCATGTATGGCATAGACGATAGAGGTTATCTTTACTATTATACATAACAAGAGTTTGTTTTGTTGTTTCAACGTGCGTGAAAAATTATTTTTGTGTTGGTAAGAGCATTTATCGACCATCGCGATGTGACTATGGAGAAAAAAAAACAGCTGAAAATGTGGAGAAGAACTGGGAAAAATCATCTCTGTGAATTTCTGATGCGTAGGTTGCAAAAAAGGTTCCAGATTCAGTAAAAAAATATGTACTAAAGAATGATTCCTCTTAAATGATCTAAAAAAATAAGGTCTTTAGATCATTACGCCACCGACGTTGTAGGTGACAGCTTAAATTTATAAAGAGGAAGAGAAGCTTGGAAAACATTTTGGATACCATAAAATATCTCACATATTCAACGTGGATGAAGACTGCGATACACTTTGCCTATAAAGCGTTTAAGCCAATATAATTTTCGTTCTATATGATGCCTAAAGAAAGAAAATTTCTTCGTAAATTCGAAATTAGTTCACATATGTAACCCTCCCCAGAAACGTGTCCTCGTGTTAGTTAAGGCCTAAAATGTAATTTCGTTGCGATATTAATCTCGTCGCGTTTACACACGAGTAATAATGGCTTAGATCTTTGAGCATTTCGCCGGAATGTGCCGGAATACGGTGCGCGACGGAATGTTCCGGCCGGGGTAAAAATGTAATATCTCGCGGAGAATCCCGGATTGTATTGTAATTTTAGAGGGTAGC